TCTCAGCCCTTTCGGGAGGGTCCAGCTGCGCCGGCATGTCCCCTCCGGTCTGTGTCCCCGCAGCGGCACAGCCACAGCGCCGTTCTCGGCGTTGAGTCTTCCTGATGCTCCATACCCCCCTCCCCACCGCTGACGCCTCCCCGGTCTCGGGGCGCACAGCTCCCGCTGGCCACGGGCACCTCCTCAGCTGCTGGCTCCCAACTGATGGAAAAAAGGGCAAATTCACCCAAATCCATATCCGGCTGCTGCCGCGGAGCTCCGGGTGGGCTCTCTCTCGCATGTGCATCACCGGGGCTGTAATTCCTAAGGGCTTCTGTTTTCTTTCCAAGGGCTGCTATCGGTGCCATGCTAAACCCCCCCACGCCGGTAGGAGGGTGACCCACGGACCGCTGCCCGGCTGTGCTCGACGTAGCCGTAGCATTCAGTTTACATACAGCACAACCCGTTTGCCTTACTAAAGACGCTTCTCCAATGAGTCGTGGCCTTACACTGGGCGCGTTAGCGTAGGCACAGACTACAGTTAGCGACGGTTTTGAGGCCACGGTGGTGTTCTTTTGGGTATTTGGTCGTTGGGTTTGTATGATTTCATGTACTTATTCTCAGTTTAAGAAAGCCTTACTTTTTAAAAGTGTTTTTTTTTTCTCTCTCTCTCTCTCTCTCTGTAGAGGTAATGTGGATTTATATATATATAAATATATATATAAATAAAATAATTAAAAATATTAAATATACTATAGTACGTGCCTCAGATTCAGGGGACATCCTGTTGATTGTAAAGTCAGAAGTGGCGTTGCTCCCCGGCATCAGGAGAGCCGTACGTACCCTGTGCCCGGCATCCCCCCGGGTGGGGGGGCGGTCCTGCTCTTGGTTTGTAAAGGACTTCACCTATTACAGAGATGCTCGGGTCACATCCACACTCCCCCCCCCCGGCAAATTCCTGCCGGCTGCAAGAATGTGATATTAAATAATACGCAGACGAGGGCTGTTATTCCTTGCCAGGTAGCTAAAACAGGCTCATTGTTGTGAAGAGACGCGGTGGCTTGTCCAGAGCGTGACCCAGGATGTCTCAGGATGACAGCGAGCGGTGGCAGCAGCAGTAAGGGTTCGGCATCCTGAAATAAAGGATTTTAACAGGAAAAGTCTTAGCGTGCGCGCACGGGGGAGTTTGCTGTGTGTTTGCAGGTGCAGCTCTTTGAGCCTGTTCTATGGAAGATGATGTTAAAAAAAAAAAAAAGAAGAGAAAAAGAAGTATTTGTAAAATAGATTGTAATTTTTCCACGTTATAGCACAGCTTCTTTGGCTGACAAAGTCATGTTTCAAGTGCATTGTTTAAAAGCTCCTGGCTGAACAGGCTACCAGGCGTACGTAGGATGTTAGAGGATTGTAGCAGTGCTTTACGGCGTTTATGGGTTCGGTGTGGAAGAAATCGAAAGAAGAGGATGGCCAAAAGAAGAAAACGAAAAACCCAACAAAAAAAGAAGAAGAAGAAAACAAACAAACAAACAAACAAACAAAGCCTTCTGAAGCTATGACCTGTAGTAGCCAAGTCTCGCTGGCAATTGCACAAGCGCAGCGGGACGCGCGTGTCCCCGGGGAGGGGCTGCCCGAGGTGCCCCCCGCCGGTGCAGGCTGCCCACTCGTCCCCCCCCTCCATGACTTGATTGCACTAGAGCAGCTCAGTCTCAGGAAATTGCTTGTTACTTTTACTGTGTAAATAAAGCTCCCTGGTTCAATAACCCCGCTCCTGGTCGGCGTCTCGCCTCTCTCTGCTGGGTCCCCCCGGGGTCGGGGATGTTGGGGACACCGCTGCCCCTCGGGGATGGAACGGTCGGGTTGTGGCACCGGTTGGGGTTTGCTGGGGCTGAGTTGGGTGCGGGTGGATGAGCCACATACGCCTCTCCTCTCCCGGAGGGGGTCTGGCTGCACCTCCACGGCATCTCCGGGGGTGTTGGGAGGGGAAAGGGTGGGGTCCCAAAAATGGGATTGGGTTGGGAAAGCCGCCGGCTGGGACCCTCCATTGAGGTGTGCGTGTTAGATGCAGTAAGGGTGTCCCAACCTTTGGCTGCACCAGAAAACTGAGCATTTTGTGATGTTCACGGGCAGGCAGATGTGATGCATCCTTCCGGCGGTGGGGGGATGTCTCCCACACCCCCCCGAGCCTGACGCTGACTGTTATTCAGCCTTAACGCAGCCGAACAGGTAACAGCAAACTACAAATCAACATCTAAGTGCCTTAGGCTTTGTGTTTAAGGCCGGAGATACCATCCCACCCCTTAAAATAAAATCTAAAGCCGAGCAAGGCAAGAGCCCAGAGCAGGGCAAGGGCACAAGGGGGTGTTAAATAAATTCTTGAGGAGACGGGGTAATACCTCCCTACAGCCTTTGTGAACCAGAAAGGAAAACGGCTGCGTTTCCTCCAGCAAGCAAACAGTTTAAAAAGTTTCACGACAGATGGCAGGATGTTTATCTGCCTAAACTTAATCAGATTGAAGTGACAGGCTTAGTATACTAGAACAAAAAGGAAGAATTATAGGATAAAAAAGAAATTCTCAGTGATCCGTCACAGCCCCAACGTTCGACCGGGGTTTGCGGCATCCTTCGCGTGCGCGCGGAGGCACACGGCGCTGTACACTTTGGCTGAACCGGTACCCAGGGGATAAAAAGATACAAAAACAGACCAAAAAATTGCACTAAGGTCATTTTCCCAGATGTGGTTTATTTTATTATAATTTAATTCCTAGCCCACTTTCCCCCACTGTCCCCAAGGGGTGCCGTGCAGCTCAGCGGCCAGCTGGTAGCTCTGAAAAACAAGGGTTTCCAACACTCGCAGGCTGCTCCGGGAACACAGAGCATCACTTCGGTGTCCTTCGGTGACCGGGGTCATCTTCAGCTGTCGGGACTGCTGGAAACGTAGCTGGAATTATTGTTTACCTCCCGCTTGCAAATGCAAAAAGCAGTAGCTGAGTGCAGACAGCGGCCAGAACACGCTAGCTCAGCATATGTATATATAATTATATAAAACACACAGATGATTGCATACCTTTCCATGGTCCCATGGGAGGTCTGAAGCAGGTTTAAGCCCAAACACTCTTAGTCAACTCCAGTCTAAAGCACAAAGTGTTGCCCCAAACCCAGGCAGGGCTGCAGAGCTGCTGACACGCTGATTAAAAGGGGACTTTTGCCTACAAAAGGGTGACCCTTGCAGAGGGTGACCCTTGCGAACACTGCCAAGTGTGGGTGAGGGTGGGCAGCCCCCGCTTTCCGGGGGCACAGGACGTGATGGAGTGACCCCCAATCGCTCTTTCTGCTCCCCGGTTTGAGCCACGTCCCTGCCACGTGCAGCGTGGCCAGCTGTTGCCACGCACGCTGCAATAGCTGCGCCGTGAAACTGTTGGGTGAGAGAAACTCAAAAGCCCTGGGGATGTGCAGGGGTACTACAGTGCCCAGCGGCAGGGAGCAGCGCATTTTAGCGACGCTTACCCTGATTAAAAAACAAAGACAACTCTCATGCCCGTCCCTGTTCGATACAGCATCACTTTCCAGCCCCGGCAAGCGGGATGGGGCTGAGCTGGGCCCAAACTGGTGCGGCGGGTGCTCGGCGGGCACACAGCACTGGCACAGGATCAGTCCTGGGGGATGCTCAGTGAGTAGACTGGGGTTGTCCCATTCAGGTAGCAATGGCCATCACAGAGTGGTGTATGCCCGTGTGGTTTTGGTACCCAGGAGAACTGGAGGACGGGTTAGCAATGACTACTAAGAAGGAAAGAAAGTGGCTGAACATTTCCACATAGTTTTTATAAAGCAGAATTCACAGCTGTGGCAGGAGGACTGATGGAGCTGGTGCTTTACAGAGACTGGTTCCCAGTGGGGACTGGAAAGTTAAAGCCAGGAGCAGCAGAACTGGGAACCGGCTGGAGCTGAGCTGCCTGTGCTGGCCTTCATGGCAGGGGCAAGCATCCCTGCCATGCCGTGCCGTGCTGCTCCAGCCTGGAACACCCACTGCTGGGTGAGCTGGAGCTGCGCGGGACCCAACGCCGACAGTGCCCGGGCGCGGGGGACACCCCACCCCGGCTGCACGGCCGGGATTTTAACGGGAGGAGGTAGGAGACCATTTCTGCCTGTGAGATCCTCACGGAGGGGAGGAAAAGCCCATCATTCCTCACCAGCTTATCCCAGGTAAGGAAAAGCATTTCAGAGCCTCTGAACATCCCTGCCAGTGTTGATCCAACTGAACACAACAACAAAGGGTCCAGATCTACCAGATGGGGTTTATTCCCGACAGGATGGTGTGGTTATTCCATAATGTGCTGCAGTGTTACCAGATTCCCGAGCTCCAACCCGGAGAGGGGCTAATTGTCACAGAAATACGGTTACCACCTTGCTGAGGGCGCAGGGGCTGTCCCCCTCCTGTCACCCATGGCCAGAGGCATACAGGGGACCCCGCAGAGCAGGGACCCAGGGCTTGGTGGCCTCCATCACCCCTCAAGGACATCTCCCATCCCATCTCAGGCACCCCAAAAGGCACAGAAAGGGTGAGTTCAACAGCAAAGCTGGTCCATAAGGGGTGCGGGGTCCCCTGTTTCCCACCCAGGACTGGGTCCCCAGTGGTGAGCAGAGAGTTAATGGGGGCAGAGACCCCCCCAGCACCACCCAGGGGGAGGCAGAGGCCCTTCAGCATCCTCTGGGCTCCCCTCGGGCAGAGACAACCCAGGGAAGAGCCTGGTGCTTTCAGAAGAACCGATTTCGCAGGCGCTGGCAGGGGCACGGCACCAAGGGGAAGACATTCAAGACGTGCTGGAGGACAGCAGGTTCGGTTTTCCCCTTGACGAGGTCAGTAGATCATTTTAGTACCGTTACGTGAAAGGTTTAGGAACGCAGGCGTTCCCCACCCCGGGCAAGGCTGGGTCTGGGTCCGTTAGCGTCAGATGGAGGGGTCGAGGGTGGAGGGGCTGCAGGCGAGGTCTCCTCCTTCCTTCCCATCGCTCGCGGCGCCGTCGGTGTTACAGCTGCTGGAGGATCATGTCAACCGCTTCGGCGAGGTTGTTCACATATGCGTCAGGCTTCACGTGGGGGTGGTTTTCATCGCAAGGCCTGCAAAGGAGGCAGAAGGGCACGGCTGAGCAAGGATGGGTTCCCAACCAGGTCCCACGTCCCTGGCCATACTCCTGCCGCGGTCCTCACAGAGCCCAGGGCAGCACCGAGGTGGCCCCAGTCGGAGCACGCTCAGGTGAGCCTGGGTCTCACATTCCTCCCTTTTCTGTTTTTCTCCCCCTTTTCCTTCTCCTCTCCCCACCTCCCCCATACCCAGGTCTTTCCTGGGATGCTATGGTAGATCCCATGTCCTCGTGCAACTGGGCTGGGCAAAACTTTGCAAAGCCTTGTATGGAAGACAATATCGACATCGTTAACTAACTAACCCAAATTAATGCACTGCATTTTACATGGCGCTTCTTCATTCAAGCAATAGCAGTATCAAACAGGGATCGCCGGGAGGTCGCTTCACTGCAAGCCTGGGATCCCACAAAGCTGTGCAAATAATTATTCTCCCATGGGTTTTGTTTAGAAATAGGTAAAGAAAAGAAGACCTCAGTTCCGACTTAGAGCCGCTGAAGGTCTGTACACAGCTTCAGTGAATGGGAAGGCTCTGTAAGGGTTTAATTTTGCAGGACCACCATTTTGTAAATCTAACAGCGGTGCTTTCAGACGCTACCATAAGGGTCAGACTCGCCCTCCACCGCGAGTCACCACCCCGAAGCAGAGTGGCTTGAAACCATTTTTTGCCAGTGATTTAATTAGAGGTACTGGCCTAACGAGGTGCAGATGCACAATCCTATTTTACTGATTCAGCAGCATTGCTGGTGGGGAGGGGGGGCAGATGCGGGAGGCAGAAATTTTCCAAACCTTGTGGTCCTGTTATGGCTCTTGGGCTGAGAAACCCAACAGCTGCTGAAGAGAAAACATATGTATTTTATACGCTTCATGGCTTTCCTTTGGGAAAGAGATGAAAGCCCTAATGTCCACCTCCCAGCTCTCTTGCTCCCTGTAAAGGGCAAACCTTTATTTAGCACAGGCCATTTTCTCAGCGGGGAAGATGCATTTCCCATCGGATGCATGGGAGACAGAGAGATTATTATTATTAATTATGATGTGCAGAATTTGGTAAGCCCTTGTCTGTACAAGTACCAAATTATTTCTTCAGTTCCAGCACTGAAGCCCCCCCAGGGCTATTTCCTTTCTGTTTATTTCTCAGCTGCACTCTTCACGTCCGAGCACACGAGCTCCTCGCAAAGGCACGGCCTCTTTTGGGAGCCCACACTGCTCGAGACTTTACTTGCCGCAGAGCTACAGTATGCAACTAGGAAAAATAAAAGACACTGATATTCAGCTTTGCTTGAGTCACCTGCAAAGCCACATCTGGCACAAGGACGATGGCTCCGTGAAAGGGATTCTATGTTGGCGCTGGCTGTCATAAAAGCATCTTATTTAAAAGGTGGAAGGTTATTCCATGAGGCTTTATTTAATTATCCAAGTTCTATCTTGTTACAGGGCTAGGGTGCAATAAGAAGAGTAATTACGATGCATTTTAGGGTTTCCTCAACTGAAGAAGAATTTAGACTGCTGAAAGTAAAGCAAGTTATAATATACAATGGGGAGAAACCTTCAAGTATAAAGCAAGTAAAAATCCAGTACGTATCCATCCCTCAGGTGGTGATTATTGCTCATCCCCTGATTTAACCCAGAGGTGTTTATGAATATAGAAATACCTTTGGGGAGTATTGTAAAACACTCATTTCTTGTCAATAATCCTTAATTTGAGTGGAGATCTAAAAAAAGTAATGAACAAAATCTTCTTTCCATTTTACACCCAGTTTTAAGAACTGCTTGAAACGAATGCTTCTACAAGAAATTTTCAATTACACAGCACTCTTTGATCTATTAAAAGGATTTTGTGATTGATATCTGTGCTGACTATACAGAAATCCACCTGTAACTCAGCTGCTAAATGCCAGTCGTCGAGGAAATGCCCTGTATACACCAAATGTGTGCTGCAGAAGGGGTGGGGGTGTATATATGTATATATACATACTGCAGTAAAGCAAATTAAGAAATAAGGTATTTTTACCCATTCGTCCAAATAATGTGTGATGACAACACCCAGACTGGCCAGCCACCAACTCCAGGCTCCAGCGAGGTTTATGTTAAAACCCACCCTGGCTGCCGGGGAGCTGCGAGTTCACCCCCACGCGTTGCCCAGCCGCCCCCTGGGACCGCTGGGGTGGACCTGGGCTTTATTTTTATCTGCTGCACCCCTATTACTCATCCGAGCCTGACTATTTCTCTTCTGCTTTGCAGTCTGATACCCTAGAGGGTTACAGCTCGGAACCCTAAACTACTCTTCTGCTACCCATGCTGCAGACAGACGGCCTCGCTCACAACACATGGGTGTCAATAGTTTTCCTAATATTTTACCAGAGTTGTCCAGAAGAAAATGAGAGGAATACACAGCCCTTACGCAGCTGACATCCCCCCTTAAAGCAGACGGGGTGCAGCAGAGCCCAGCAGATCAGCAGGTGCCTGCCCCGCGTCCAGCCAAGGATCCCGCTTCCCTCCCGTGGTGGGGACCAGCCCTTTGTCACCGCGCTGTCCCCACACTGCCCATCCCTACCCCTGAGCTGGAAAGTGTATTTCATTTCTTCCCCTCTACTCTACTCTATTGAGACCCCACCTGGAGAACCGTGTCCAGCTCTGGAGCCCCCAACATAGGAAAGACATGGACCTGCTGGAGCATGTCCAGAGGAGGCCACAAAGATGCTCCGAGGGCTGGAGCACCTCTGCTGGGAGGAGAGGCTGAGAGAGTTGGGGGTGTTCAGCCTGGAGAAGAGAAGGCTCCGGGGAGACCTTATTGAAGCTTTACAGTAACTAAAAGCGCTACAGGAGAGGTGGGGAAGGACATTTTACAAGGGCATGTAGTGATAGGATGAGGGGTAATGGTTTTAAACTGGAAGAGGGCAGGTTTAGATTGGATATTAGGAAGAAATTTTTCACTCTGAGGGTGGTGAGCCCCTGGGGCAGGTTGCCCCGAGAAGCTGTGGCTGCCCCATCCCTGGAGGTGTTCAAGGCCAGGTTGGACGGGGCTTGGAGCAACCTGGGCTGGTGGGAGGTGGCCCTGCCCAGGGCAGGGGGGTGGAACTCGGTGATCTTCAAGGTCGCTTCCAACCCAAACCATTCTATGATTCTATGCTGATTCTATGATTTCAGCCCACAGCACATTTTGAAGTTATACTTTTGAGACACGTCATATGTCTTAGATTACCTATATGCTCATCACTGCTAAGTGGGAGGAAATGCAATAAATAAAATTGTCTGAACTCTGTAGGAAAGCAGAGAACTGGAATAAAACACACTTCCCTGCTCTCTTGCCTTCTCCTAGGGCTGTGCTTGGAGCTCTTCTTCCTGTCAGTGCCATCCCAAGAGCTGTTTCATGTGGCCTCCTCCTTTGTCTCGCAGAACTCTTTGTAGCTCACACAACTGCACACAAATAGCCAAGCAACGCTTTTATTCCTTCCCCTAGCTCAGTATTGCTCTTTTAAGCGTATGTCAAAAGGAAACTGCAAGCAATAATCCCCAAAGATACTAATGCCAAGAAGAAATGCTCCAAATGTAGCGAAACAATTCAGGAGCCCAAGTCTGGGTGCCAGAAGTGAGGCAGAAGAGCGAGCTGTGCCATAAAACCTGTGGGCAAACCCAAGATGCTGGAGGATGAGCCCTTCTTCTGCCCGAAGGGAGCGGAGACCGTGGCTCTATACCAGCCTCTGCCCCGGGGGATTCGGGCTGTTTCCCAGGAGAAACCCCCAGTCACCGAGTGGTGATACCCTTCAGTGGAGCACCACTCTGGAGCTTGGACCTGATGTCCCGGCGTTGCTTCGGTGCATCAGAGCCTCTCTGGATAGGGCCACCGGGTACAGGTGGGAAACCTCAACAAAGAGCAGATCTTGCTCTCACGGTTTCAGCTTGGCTTCTCTTCCAGTGACAATGACCCTTTTTGCATTGCACCATGGCAGATATTACAACAGCAGGTCCCCAAACTGAAAGTAGAGGTTACTTTTTACTACTTTTCTTTTCATATTCCATAAATAAATAAAAAAAAATCTAAAAATATCTTTAATTTGCTAGGTCAGTTGAAGAATAAACTTGCATTGAGCTAACTTTAAGACCAACTCCTTCTGATTCTTTTTATTTTACATGGGACTCTGGTTGCAGAGAAGAACATAAATCAAAATGACAGAAAATTATATTCTGCAGCTGAATATTGAGCTGTCAGCAGTCTTGGCCAGTGCACAAACTCGCTTGTGAAAAATCAACTACAGCCTTGGGAAATGCTCTCTTCAGTAAAGCAGGACTGCTTGGAGTGGCTGAGCACCACAGCATGGATGCATACACAAGGAACATTTTTCACCCCAAGTTGGCCATGAAAGCCTCCTGCTCGCTCTGTGAGATGGGGCACTTCATTTCTGCACTGCCTCTTGGTGGCCACCTTGCTGGTATATGGAGTGATCAGGGAAACAAGTGGATTAGCACAGGGAACTTCTGAAATCCAAGGTGGTCCTTCTTGGTCCCTACTGTGTTGTGAGGGCTCGGGGACACGTGCTCTGTGCCTGCTCCTCCATGCACCGGGCAATGTCAACAGAGTAAGTTCTTCAAAAGAAAAAGGCATCCAAAATGATCCATATGTTACAACACATTAAAGATATGAAGTATCTTTAGCATGATGCAACATCGACAGAGGTCTTGAGGCTCAGTAGTTACTCATGTCCATCAAATCATCCTCAGGAGATGACTAAACATCCTCCTCTCCCAGGGACCATTTATCACTGTCAGTGCTGCAGGAGCTGAGCAGCTATCTATAGCCCCATGTGCTCTGAGCCAGATCCTCCGCCCATACTAAACTGGTTAGTTCAGATCAATGCTTCAGTCTGAGACATCAAGGAAGCAGCAGGGTGCTGCAGAAAACCGGCTCTGCAATTTTAACTCTTCACTCGGTCACTTGGTAAGAGAAGCTCCAGCATGGTACCAGAGCTACTGACTAGCAG